CCGAAGACCTGGTCCCTCTCGGTAGGGTAACAAGGGAACGTGTTCAGTGCAGATCAGTGAGTAAGCACAAGCCCGCCTTGTTTCAGTGCCTATGCTTAAAATATCATGCTAGGTAAAGGGAAAAAGGGGAAGAGCATCAACAAGATGGATCACGCAGTTGCTGTGACTAAGGGGCTCAAGCATGGAGCAATTGTGAGGCTGGCGTAGGACGGGGCAGTGCTTCATTCTGTTGTACATAGGGTCAATGTGAGTTGGTAATGTTAGTTGCCTATTCGATGGCACCTAACAACACCAATGCAATATTCCTGGCTTTGCTTTTTTTTGTAGTCTTAATTTGTTTTAATTTTGTGTGTATATATATGTGTTCACTTTGAATTTATCTGGGAATTTAAGACCTTTTAATATTTAACTAAATAAATCTCACTAAAATGTAAAGTTCTGTTTCAGGAGAAACCAGAAGGCTCACAGATTATCCAATTAGCCTTCAGGTTGTGTGTTGCCTCACTCCTGGAACTGATGTGAGATCGATTCAAAACTGGACATCTCAGCTCTGAACTTTATGGGGCTAAATTCAACTGAACTGTGACAAAAAACTACTTTTTGGATCACAGCCTTCTTGGGCCAAGGAAGCAATTACATACATTTGATCCATTTTAGTTTGGGGCCACCAAGAATAAAATATTTGTTTGATATTTCTCAAATTCTTGAAATATGTGATTTGTTATTTTAAAATGGCAGTTACCACTGAGCATTGACAATTATTTGCAGATTTGTACTGATCTGATTATTTAAATCCGGACTATTAATTTAATGTAAAGTTGCATGAAAATCTATATGTTTTGCTCTTCTATACAATCATTTTAACTGGAATGAATATATACTGTTGATGAAATCCTAGACTCTGAGAGGTCCAGGACACCTCTTGGCCCAAATTTGGATTACTAAAATACATTCATGAAGTTTCAAATATTTTAAAGGCATATTCTAGAGAGAACACTAGGGTGATTACTTTGGTAAATTGAAGTTATGATAGTGTGACTTTTTCCTGTGATTTCTTATTTTATTTTATTTTAAGAGCTTGTTTTACATTCAAAGTCACATGTACTTTTAGTTTCATTCCCCATTCGCCATATCCAACCCTAACCCAGTCTTCTCCTCTCCCTACCCTAAAACACTCCCCCTGTGTCCCTCATAATTATGCACTCCTGTTTGTCCTGCATTTCCTCAGTTTGAATGTTGGTCCTTTGGTGTCCCATGGTCTATTGCTTTAAGGGATGTATTACCAGTGAGTGGGTGGGTGCGGCATCCTGGGTTGAGTGGTCTGCGTGTACATTGTATTAACTATTG